GGCGCCGAGCCAATGCATCATTTTAAAACATGTCCCAGAAACAAATCTTTTGTGCACTAGCTGTGGCAATATCTGAAAGCCAGATATTTCTGGATTAGAGTCTCAATTCAGCCATTTCCTCCTCAAGAAGCACCAAGTACATACCCACCTTTGCTTCCCAGTTTCCATGCCAACCAACCATTACCCCTTTGGATGGGAAGTAAGAGGCTAAAAAATACTTCCTATAGGACAACTGCAAAAGAATAAAGTTAGTCCCTGCCTTCGTCTGTTTTCTGCTCCTATAACAGAATATCATAGAATGGATAAGAAAACAAATTTATTTCTTATAGCTCTAAAAACTGAGAAGTCCAATATTATGGTGCTGGTATTTGGTGTGGGCCTTCTCATTATGTCGTAACATGGCAGAAATTATCACATGGAGAGAGGGCACAAGTGTGCTGGTTCAGGTCTCTTTTCACAGTCCCATCATAGAGATCCCTTCCCTGATGACCTTTTCTAATCCTAAATATCTAAGGTAGCACCTCCAAATAAAATCAACATATGAATTTGGAGATTACATTTCCAACACATGAAATTTGGGAGCACATTCAAACCACTGTAATCCCCTACTTCATATCATCTATAAAAAATTAACTTAAAGTAAATCAAAAACATAAATGTAAGCTAAAACTATAAAATTCTTAGAAGAAAATACAGATAAATCTTTGCAACTTTAGAACTGGCAAACTATTCTCAGATATGAAACAAAAAGCACAAGCAACAAAATATAAATAAACTGGACTTCATCAAAACTTTTATGTTTCAAAGGATGTTATCAAGAAAGGAAAAAGACTGCTCAGGTGGAGTGGCTCATTCCTGTAATCCTAGCGCTCTGGGAGGCCGAGGCAGGTGGATTGCCTGAGCTCAGGACTTCAAGACTAGCTTGAGCAAGAGCAAGACCCTGTTTCTAAAAATAGTCAGGCACTGTGGTGGGCACCTATAGTCCCAGCTACTTGGGAGGCTGAGGCAAGAGAATCACTTGAGCTGAAGAGTTTGAGGTTGCTGTGAGCTATGATACCATGGCACTCTAACAAAGTAAGACTCTGTCTCTAAAGAAATAAATAATAGGGAAAAGATAATTTACAGAATGGGAAACTATAATTGCAAATCACTTATCTGATTGAACTCTTACAACTCAATAATAAAAAGACAACCCAATTAAAATTGGGGAAAAATCTGAATAATTATTTCTTTAAAGATTATATGAAAAGATATATATACATGTGGCAAATAAGTATATAAAAATATGTTCAACAAGTCATCAAGGAAATGAAAATCAAATCCACAAACCAAATACTTCAATTCAAAGAGTATTTCGGGCCTGGTGTAGTGACTCATACATATAACCCCAGGGGTTTGGGTAGTCTAAGGTGAAAGGATCAACTGAGGCCAGGAGAGCAGCCAAAGTAACACAGTAAGACCTTATCTCCATAAAAAAGTTAAAAAATTAGCCAGGTGACATGTGCCTGTTGTTCTGTCTACTTAGGAGGCTGAGGTAGGGGGATTGCTTGAGTCCAGGAGTTTGAGGATGCAGTGAGCTACAATTATGCCACTGCACTCCAGCCTGGGCAACAAAATGAGACTATTTCTTTAAAAAAAAAAAAAAAGATTAAAAACAATATTTCCTTTTAAAAAAACCATGAGTGGATTTTAAAATACTAAAGAAATTTCAGTACAGACGGCACATGGTTCTGACAGAAAACATGAAGAAAAGACTTCTGTTCCTATCTGTGTCTTCACCTTCCATTCAGAATGTCTGCCAATCCTGACACATGCCTCCCATGCCTGCCCCCATCCACCACCATCACCATTCTACATGGGTCACTGGTGACAGCTTAGATACCAGGTCCAGTGGGTACTGGTCAGTCCAAGCTAAGAGACCTCTAGTGGCATCACACAAGTCCTTAATGCTCCTCTTGGCCTCCTTGCTATTCTCCTTCCTACTCCACCTCAAATCCCTGTAGCCCCCCTCCTGCCAGGCACAGGCTGGGGCCAGGAGGGAAGGGGCTGTGCTCAGATCTCTCTCCTTCACACGCTCTACCACTGCTGACCAGGACACCACAGCATCTTCCAGCACCTGGTCACTGGACCCCATCCTCTCCTCTTTTTCCCACTGTCATAGTTCAGCTTATTCTGTGTACCCCTAGATGCATGAATGGCTTTTTCAACCTCATGTTTTACAGTCCTACTTAAAACATCTGAATGGCTCCTTCTCAACACTGGATACAGGATGACCCATCTCAGCCTGGCTATGGTAGGCTAAATGATGGCCCTAAAGATATCTAGCCCCAAGTTCCTATAACCTGTGAATACAGCTCCTATAACTTGCGAATATTACCCAAATATGGAAAAATAGACTGTTTAGATGTGATTAGGATTTCAAAACAAGATTTTCCTGGATTCTACAGGTGGTCACTAAATTCAATCCCAAGTATCTTTATAAGTGGTAGTAAAAGGGAGATCTGACTGTAGAAGACACAAAGTAATGTGATCACCCAAGTAAGATGCTACACTGCTGGCTTTGAAGATGTGCAGATGGCCATGAGACAAGGGATGCAAGGTCTACAGCTCTTACAGCTGGAAAACACAAAGAAATGGATCTTCCTGTAGAGTATTGGTAGGAAGGGTAGCTCTGCTGGAACCTTGATTCCAGTCCAGAAAACTGACTTTTATAATCATAAGACTACATGTGTGTTGTTTCAAGTTGTCATATTTGTAGTAGTTTGTTACTGCAACCACAGATAACTAATGCACTAAACCTATAAGCCCTCTATTTCTGGTCCTTTCCAGCTGTGATGGTGAGTCCAAGATGGCCACCAACGATCTCTAGCCCTTGTGCACTCCTTTTCTACACTGAGCAAGACTGACGTGTGTAATTAATAGGATGCTGTAAGTGCTGTGCCAATGACAGTGCATTCAGAGCCCAGGTCATGAAAGTCATTGCAGCTTCTATCTTGCTCTTTCTTGATCCCTTTCTCTATGGGAAACCAGAACCAGACATCATGCTGTACCCGTACACCCAAGCAGCTCCACAAAGAGGTTTCCAAAGAGAACTGAGGCCTCCTGCCAACAGCCATGTGTATGAACTCTGTTGGAAGTAGGTCCTCCAGCCTCACACAAGTCTCAAGTGGCAATAGTTAGGCTGACATCCTGACTGTCACTTCAGAAGCTTGGGCCAGAACCACTAGAAGTCATCCCATAATTAGTAACTGTCAGAAACTGTGAGATATTTATTGTTGTTTCAGTCCACTAAGTTAAGAGTTATTTGTTACACAGCAACAGATAACTAAACCATGGTAACATTTCATGCAAATTTAGAATAACACAATTCTGAAAAACCTGCGATCTAACATTATCAATAGTCTGATTCTGTGTACCAAATCTGAAACAATACAAATCCCCCAAAGAACACAAATACAAAAATCAAAGTGTACATAATTTCAAAGTTGCAGAGCTTAAGGAAATATAAATTATTTTTGGTTTCTGTCATGTGTACGCGGCACCTTATGAACACGGGGCAGCCAGTGTTGGCGCTTTGATGGCCAGACAGCCGGGCAAACATCTGCCGCCTGTAACGCAGTTCTCCACTGTCCCGCCAGGGACGCCCAGGCAGCCGCTGCCCTTACGCTATCTTGGCGCGTCACCCCAAAAGGTCACGCCCCACCCTCAAGGCAGCGGCTCCGCGGCGCCTGAGTCCCCAGGGTGTCCGCGGACTCTACGCACCGAAGCGTCTCGGTGAAAGCGCTCGCCATCTTGGCGCTCGGCCGACTACGAGATGCTTTTACGGTCATTATAAGAAACAGCCCTTTTCTGGGGGTGCAGATCTGTATGCCGGGGCGCAGAACGCCCCGCTGGGTACGAGGGGACCGTCCGCGCATGCGCACTCAGGGCCAAGTGCCCCGGTTCGAATCCCGCCTCTGCTCTTGCCTCACAGGGCCAGCGCCCCAGTTTCCCCGCGTGTAAGGGGTATCATGGCCGCGCCGTTTGCGCCGCGCGTCGCGATATTAAAAGGTCGGTCTCCGTAGGAGACGGTCGGCCCGGCCCGTTGTTACCTGAAGCCCTGCCGCCGGTAAGCCCGCGGCCGTCACCACTGCTGCGGCTTCTTCCTCGGGGTCCATCCTGTACTAGCAGGTTGAGAACAGGAGTCCGAAGCTACCCCCAAGTCACAGAGCCGCCTAAGACTATAGGACCACCCGACTCGCCGCCCGGCGGACAATGGCGGCGACACTGACGCCGCCGCAACTACAACCCCCACAAGGCCGTGCGGCAACCCCGACCAATGGGAGCCTGCGCTGCCTGCTTCCGACCAATGGGAGCGCTTTGACTGCGGGCCAATGGGAGCTCTCGACGGGTGAGGACGCTCCTTGCTCGCGGCTGGAGGCCCAGTAATCAGGGTGAATCTCTGGCAAACCCGAAGAGCCGAGGGATCAACTCTGCGTCTACGCTGTCGGGGACGCGAGCAGAGTAGTGAAGCTAGGGCGGGACCCGCGCTTTTGACCGAGACGTGCAGGCAGCAGACCCGGGCCTTTCCCTGCGTTGCTCTACATGCACTTTTTACTCTGTACGCGCACGCATCAAAATTACTCAAACATTTAAGCATTTTATTAACATAAGAGAACTAGAGGGGGTCGGCTATTAACTAGAGGGGGGAACGGGGCTTCAAGGCTAAGTTGTTTCTCTCCGAGTGGGGTGTTTACTTTGTTAATACCCTTTTTTTGTGGACTTGTTAGTGTCCTTTAATAGATTAGAAAAGAAAAATGAAAAAGCTGATGTTGGGCCGGGGGCGGTGGCTCACGCCTATAATCCCAGCACTTGGGGGTCCAAGATGGGTGGACTGCCTGAGTTAGGAGTTCGAGACCAGCCTGAGTAAGAGCAAGACCCTATGTCTAAAAAAGAGCCAGGCGTTGTGGTGGGCGCCTGTAGTCCCAGCTACTTGGGAGGCCGAGGTAAGAGAATCGCTTAAGCCCGAGAGTTTGGGGTTGCTATGCACTGTGATGTCACAGGAGTTCTACGCAGGGCAACAAAGTGAGACAAAAGAAGAAAAGAAAAATAAAAAGCTGATGTTCAAGATGCATTCAAACCCCAACAAATTTCTTTCTTTCTTTCTTTCTTTTTTTTTTTTTTTTTTGACAAATTCTCACTCTCTTTCCCTGTGTTGAGTGCAGTGGCATCATATCTCACAGCATCAAACTCTTGGGCTCAATCGATCCTCCTGCCTCAGCCTCCTGAGTAGGTGGGACTACAGGCATCCACCAAAATGCCCAGCTAGTTTTTCTATTTTTAGTAGAGATGAGGTCTTGCTCTTGCTTAGCCTGGTCTCCAACTCCTGAAAAGCAATCCACCCCCCTTGGCTTCCCAGAGTGCTAGGATTACAGGCATGAGCCACTGCCTTTGGCCAACAAATTTGCTTTTCGTTAAAGCCCAGGCATGGCATGGATATAGAGAACACTCCTTGGTAACCTTTAATGAGTAAATTATATAACCTAATGGTTTGTGCCCTCATGTTAATCTAAAATAACTAAAGTAAAATATACTAAAACCCAGGCATGTTGCAGGGAAGAGAGCAAAGGTATCTGCCTTCCTCCATGGGACTGATGGTGAAGTGGGCAGGGGCAGGAATAAACCACAGTATGACCACTTGCACTGTGCTAAAGGGTGAGGATAGTAGTCACCAGTGAGAATGAAAAGCTGGCTTCTAAGGAACCACATTCTCCCATCCCTTTTCTCCCTTCTCTGTCCTGGGCTCTCTGCCCTCAGGCCCAACACATTCAGCAGTACCAGGAGAATGAGCAGGTGTTAGGACAGTTAAAATTTATGGGAGGTCACCATTTTGGAGTGAGTTCCTGCCCTAGGCCCCAACAGGCCAGACCAAACCAAAATGGAGTCACTTGTGCTACATGCCACATAATCAAATGGAAACTTTAAGAAAGCAAGTAGATCCCGAAACAGACCAGTTTTTCCTGAAAACAGTTTCCAGACCTACCTGAGTCAGTATAATAAGGAAGGCCCCTTGTTTTAACCCTAACAAGAGTGTTAGCAGATGTTAACCAGCCTTTCCCCTATTGTTCTGCTTCCTTATTCCCACCTTAAAAAATCCACTGTTCTTTCATTCTACTTTGCAAATTGGAGGCTGCCTCAATTCATGAATCATAAATAAAAGCCAGTTAGATCTTTGTTGTAATTTTATCTTTTGACAAGTTCAACTTCACTCACCTGAACAGGTGGCAGTGTTGCTGTGGAAAACATGGTTCAGGCAGCATTCCAGGAGACCAAATCTGGCTTTTATTGAGAGTCTAAACAAATTTTCCAGAAAATACCCATTCAATGGGCAGAGAAGTTACCAGGAGGATCTGTTGCCTTCCCCTTAGCAGCAGCCTCCAGTGGGTGTCCAAGGTATCTGTTATCTTCTTAGAAGCCTGTAAGTTGGCTCAGTGCCTATAGCTCAAGCAGCTAAGGTGCCAGCCACATACACCAGAGCTAGTGTGTTCAAATCCAGCCCAGGCCTGCCAAACAACAATGACAACTACAACCAAAAAATAGCCAGGTGTTGTGGTTGGCGCCTGTAGTCCCAGTTACTTGGGAGGCTGAGGCAGGAGTTGTTTGAGCCCAGGAGTTGGAGGTTGCTCTTAGCTGTGATGCCAGGGCACTCTACCCAGGGTGACAGCTTGAGGCTCTGTCTCAAAAAAAAAAAAAAAAAAAAAAAAAAAAAGCCTGTGTGTTATTTTGGAACCAGTCACATAGGTCAACTTTCCTCCTAGTTTCCAATGGTGCTGCATTTGTAATGTTGGGATTGTTTTTTCTTTTCTAGCTTGTTTTCCTACTTGATTTATCTATTTTGGCTATTGTAATAGTTCTCAAAGTTTGGGTCAGGGGGGTTTCCAAAACTCTTTCAAGAGATAAGTGAGTTCAAAACTAAGCCCATAATAACAATGAGATGTCAACTTTTTCTTGAATTTTCATTCTTACACATGTAGATTTCCAGAGGCTATTGGACATGTAATGTAATAGATTAAAGGTACAAACAGCTATGGAGAATTCAGCCACCTTCAGTCAAGCTAGACATTAATATTTTAAAAAATTGGCTTGGTACTTGTAGCTCAGCGGCTAGGGCACCAGCCACATACACCAAGGCTGGCAAGTTCGAACCCAGCCAGGGCCTGCCAAACAACAACTACAACAACAACAAATAGCTGGGTGTTGTGGTGGAAGCCTGTAGTCTCAGCTACTTGGGAGGCTGAGGCAAGAGACTTGCTTAAGCCCAGGAGTTTGAGTTTGCTGTGAGCTGTGATACCACAGTACTATACTGAGGGCAACATGGTGAGACTCTGTCTCAAAAAAAAAAAAAAAGATTTGAAAAAATATAATGCAATGCAACTCTTTTCAGTAATTTTTGTTTTAGAAAATGTATTTCTCACCAAATTGGTGCTTTTTTAAAATGATACATTATATTAGTTTGCCAGTACTGTGGGAACAATATAGTGGGTGGCTTACACAACACAAATTTATTGTTTCAAAGTTATGGAGGCTATAGCCAGGCGCAGTGGCTCACACTCATAATCCTAGCCCTCTGGGAGACAGGGGGTTGGTTTACATGAGCAAAAATTAAACACTGTCTCTACTAAAAGTAGAAAAGGCAGGCATTGTGGTAGGTACCTGTACTCCCAGCTACTTGGGAGGAGGAGGCAAGAGAATCATCTGAGCCCAAGAGCTTTGTGTTGCTGTTAGCTAAAACACCAAGGCAGTCCACCCAGGACGACAAAGTGAGACTCTGTCTCAAAACAATTTTAAGAGATAAAATAAAATAGGCAGCACCTGTAGCTCAGTGGGTAGGGCACTAGCCACATACACCAAGGCTGGCAGGTTCGAACCCAGCCCAGTCCAGCTAAAATCAACAATGACAGCTGCAACAACAAAAAAATAGCCAGTTGTTGTGGTGGGCACCTGTAGTCCCAGCTACTAGGAGGCTGAGGCAAAAGAACTGCTTAAGCCCAAGAGTTTGAGGTTGCTGTGAGCTGTGACGCCATGGCACTCTACTGAGGGTGACAAAGTGAGACTGCTTCTTTTTTTTTTTTTTGAGACAGAGCCTCAAGCTATCACCCTGGGTAGAGTGCCATGGCTTCACTGCTCACAGCAACTTCCAACTCCTGGGCTCAAGCGAGTCTCCTGCCTCCGCCTCCCAAGTAGCTGGGACCACAGGCGCCCACAACGCCCGGCTATTTTATTTTGGTTGCAGCCATTATTGTTGTTTCGCGGGTCCAGGCTGGATTCGAACCCGCCACCTTAGGTGTATGTGGCTGGCGTCTTAGCTGCTTGAGCCACAGGCACCGAGCCGTGAGACTCTGTTTCAAAAAAACAAAAGAAAATAGGTGGAAGAAAGTGGTTTTAGCAGTCGGGAAAAAAAAAAGTACAAATCTGGAGTTTGGCCATTAGAAGTTATTTACAACAATGGGAAAAAAAAAAAAAAGATAAGAAGTTGTATCACATGACAGACCTCCCCTCTCAACCTCAAAGTCAACGAGAGGGCTTTCTTCCCAATGTATTGCTACCGCATGCCACTCTGGGAACACAGCAAAGGTCTATAATTTGAGTGGCACTTCATATTTTCCTTCCAGAGACCCTAGTCCCAGCCTGGATTTGCCCAGTAACTCTGTCTCTCAAAGGATGAATGTTTAACCCTCATTCTACTTAGAAAGTGAGATTAGCAGCTCAAGCCTCTTAAGTTCCAGTCTTGTTCTGCTCAAAAAGAAAAGGGATCTAGGCTCAGCGCCTGTGGCTCAAGTGGCTAAGGCACCAGACAATGACAGCTACAACCAAAAAATAGCTGGGCATTGTGGTGGGTGCCTGTAGTCCCAGCTACATGGGAGGCAGAGGCAGGAGAATCACTTGAGCCCAGGAGTTGGAGGTTGTTGTAAGCTGTGATGAGCACTCTACCCAGGGCAATAGCTTGAGGCTCTCTCTCAAAACAAAAAAGAAAAGAAAAGGGATCTGAAGAACATCCCTCATCTATGGAAGGGGATTGAGGAACAGAGAGGAGAGGAGAAGTGACCCAGGCCACACAGCAGGTCAAGGAAAACTCACTAGTATCAGTATTCATCTTCTCCAGATTCAGATTTCCCCCCTAATCTGCACCTATCTTCTCCACCAGCCTTCCAGCACCCAAATGAAAACAAAACTCCATCCCACATTTATCACTGAACAAACATTCACTCTTAGGTAATAGGAACTGTCTCACATTGAACAAGACAATCCTGACCCTCATGAGCTGACCTTCCTGGGGGATGGGTGGTTAGAAACATTTATTTTTTGAGACAGAGTCTCACTTTGACACCCTTGGTAGAGTCCCATGGCATCATAGCTCACAGCAAAATCAAACTCTTAGGCTCAAGTGATTGTCTTGCCTGAGCCTTCCAAGTACCTGGGACTACAGGTGCCTACCACAATGCCTGGCTGTTTTTATAGGTGAGGTCTCACTCTTGCTCAGGCTGGTCATGAACCAGAAACATTTTTTTTTTTTGAGACAGTCTCAGCTATCACCCGGGGTAGAGTGCCGTGGGGTCACAGCTCATAGCAACCTCAAATTCTTGGGCTTAAGTGATTCTCATGCCTCAGCCTCCCAAGTAGCTGGACTACAGGCACCTGCCATAATGCCACGCTACTTTTTTTGTTGCAGTTGCCATTGTTGTTTTAGCTGGCCCAGGCAGGGTTCAGACCCACCAGCCTCAGTATATGTGGCCAGCCCCCTACCCACTGAGCTACGGGTGCCACCCAGAAACACTTTTTAAAAACCAAGTCTTTTTATGTCATATGGTATCATTCAGGATGGAGTTTTGTTGAAGTGACACACAAGCCCTAAATCTCAGTGACTTGTCAGTTTAGCGTTGGTATCTTGCCAACACTCCCTGTCCCATGATGTTGGCAGTCAGGTGGACTGGAAGTGGGTGTTGTCCTGCTCATCCTGACCACTTCTGGAGGTAGCAGGCACTGCTGCAAACATTGCTGGTCACAGATACCCACCAGCAACCTCCTGGCTTTGTCTCCCCATCAGCCTCTGCAGTGGCCACCACTCAAATGTGCTGAGTTTCTTATATGTGCTCTGTGGGATGAATGCCCACATGAAACTAGCTAAATGAAATGTGCTCTTTTAATTCCAGAAATTGGATGAAAAGACTTATAAGTATTGTGCATTTTGTAGAGTCCTTGCTACCTGGGAGAACATAGCAGGACCTGCAGGAAAGGTGTTCACAGCCTCCTGCATGGAACTCTGACTATGCGGTCAGTCAGCCTGCCAGATAAGGGTTGATATGGCCCATTTGTGCAGGAGATATGGCTCAAAGGTTGATGTGAGTGAAAAACTCCATCATAAAAATGGGTGGCCTCCAAACCACAAGAAAACAGAGTCATTGAGCCTGTTTCACGGGAACTTAATTGAGTATATGGAAGAAAAAAGTTTTACTTCCCTGTTTGTCCTGACCTTTAACTTTGACAATGAAAGTCAGATAATGCAGGGTTGCTTTAGGTCTTTAGAGGAATAGCTTGAGGCTAGTCTTAAGATGGTTATCTGGCTCGGCGCCTATAGCTCAACCGGCTAAGGCGCCAGCCAC